ATATATATATATGTAGCTATAAAATAGGGATGAAACTCACTCCATCCTGGTACGGCTGGAACAATCAGCCCGGAAATCATTTCTTCACTGATAACTGGCGGATCTGTAGGCGGTGGTGGACATACCAGGCTTTCAATATCATCGGTTACTCTCACAATACCCGGTGTAACGTCTGGTGGCTCTGTTCTGGATGACCGCATCATCATGCATAAAGCTAATTCTTCTTGGAGTACACTCTCCAAGTACATCATATCCAGATCGCTTACTATTGCTCCATTTATTACCATAATTTCATCGCTTTTAATAATACCTGAAACATTTATTATATTTTTAATTATTTATTTTTTATATAGAATAGATTTGCTTTATTATGCCAAGGCCTAATGGCCGAATGGCAATCTTATAAAAAATACATACATAATTAAGGATATATTATATATACATTCAGAAATAGTTAAAAAGTATACAATTTGAGTGGTAAATTAACAATATTGACTAGGATCATTATTAAAAATAAATAACATAAAATATATCACTCTGATTTAACCAATTTGCTCAACGGCTTTACAATATTTCGATAAGTAATAATAAAATTTAAATAAATTAGTGTTGTTTAAATATCCAGATTAAATAAGTGGTCATACATCTTATTTTTAAAAATCTCCAAGCTCGCAGAATCAACAATATCAGCAGGCAATTGCTCCCACAAGCGAATTACAGTAATGACAAACGAATTTTCATACTGTGTCGTTGTAAAATTTATATAATCTGTTGATTCCTCAGAGATTTTCAAAAATAAGATCTATGATTATTTATTCAGACCAATTTCAGATCATTTTTGATGTTACAATAAAATTGTTTTATATTGTTTCAAGACCAAAATCAGACTTTTTTGTCACAATCATTTAGCTGGTTTTGATTGCATCAAGGTCAAAAACAGACCAAAACGTTCCATAATTTTTAGTCGGTTTTTCATCGCCTGTAGATCAAAAACCGACCTTTTACGAATTTGATAATAATAATAATAATAATAATATATATTTTATTCATGTCCTCGAAGATCCTCTACAGGGCACGGCTTTTCATTCTCTGAAACTGAAATAGTGACCATGCACTATTTCGTAGTGCAATGTATACCAAAACGGTACTCTTCGCACTACCAAATAGTGGATACCGCTCATTGAATGATGCGTGAAAGTATAAAATTTAACATTAATCTTGTCAACATTTTAATCTTGTCTCGATGTATTCACACTGTGTTTATTAACGATAATTAGAAAACTCTAGATTAAGATCCATAATTAAACGATGAGAACTATTTTATAAACGTATATTAATACAAATTTATTAGTTATCACTGCAACTAATATATTCGCAGTTACAAAACTTTCATAATCCACGAAATGTTGAGCTATGACAAATAAATATAACAGATGTAAGATTATAATCGACGTTCAGTTTATAAAACAAGAGAGCGCATAAATATATTATAAATTAATTTATTTTTACAAATAAATGCGACATAATTTTTAATGAGATACTTTTAAATCCAAAAAATTATAAGTCACCATCTTAGGCGACTTTTGGCCTTCGAACATTTAGAATGAAAATTGTAGATCAAAAACAGTATAAAATTTAGTTTAGTTTAGTTTAGTTTAGTTTATTTAAAAATTATGCCAAGGCAATTGCCAAATGGCAAAGAGTACATATACATACAGTTTTTACATTATTGTGCAGTTTAACTTATAAATATTTAGAATGTTTTATAAAATAATATTTTTAGATAAATGATAGTGACATATAATA